TAGAAACAACTCAACCTTAATTGACAAGACACATTTTGGAGTGAAGTGGATGAGTTCTTGTAAGAATTCTGAAATTAAACGTGCTCAAGGTGGAGCAATGCATTTGGGAAGTTACCATGATCACCATGATGCACCCAAAAGCAAAATCGTGCGAGACTAGACCCAAAATGGACAATATCTTGGCCAGAAAAAGATCACTTGGGATGTTACAAGTGGTATCAGATCTTCTCAACATCCCTCTTAAATGATGGTGGGACAAACCTCGCGAGAATGTTGACTCCCTAAGGAGGGGGGTTTAATGTAACGGGATTAGATACTATGACTTGTGTTGTTATTGTAACAACACTAGTCTCCAACCAATAGGAAACTAGGGTTGTGATGACAACACCCTATCTGTTGTTAGCGTAACAACATAATTCATTAAGGGCAAAATTGGAAATTTACAATAAAAATAAAAATTAGCCCTTATCTACGTGCTTTCCCCTCCGCTCTGTTCTCCATCGCTGGTGTCCTCCTCCGACTGCCATCTAATCCCAAATTCCAACTCTCCTCGGTGGAGAAATCCTACTCCGGCGCCGGCGAATCTCAACACCGCTCCCTGCACCGACCATAGCATACCGCCGCCGACTCCCAATATCCCGCCGGCGACGACGATGACCGTCTGGTCACGGGAGTGGTTGTAGTAGAGGAAGGACCAAGCGTAGAGCGCGTAGGTGATGCATCCCGCGGGGAGCATGAGCCGGGGGCCGACGACGTTGCACAGAACGCCGCCGAGTTTGGTTTTTCCTGTGTAGGGGAACTCCGAGTAATGGCGACGCCATTTTTCGGTGTGGACGGAGGCGCTGGCGGCGTAGCGGTAATGGCAGGTCCACTGAACCCAATCGATCCTTCAACGCCGTCCAAGTCTTGCCTCAAGAATTCCGTACTCAAGTCCCCCATACTCATATTCCTCTTCTTCCACAAAGTTATCCGGTTGGAGCTCGACGGCCTCCACCGCGCCGCCATGGATTTCGCCACCAATGGCGGAGATATTAAACCTCTGTTGTACAAGTATCACTTCCTCCATGGGATTTACAAGCACCACTACAATGCTGAGGATGAGGTAGGCGATTAGCTATCCAGTGGGCTTGAGCTTTGTCCAAGAAAATGAAATGGGATGAAAATTTGAAGAATTGCATCTCGGGTCAATGAAATTGAAAAGCCAACTACTGCAATTAGACTCACTTTAATTTTCATTGCAAAACACCAATTTAGTTCATTTGTAATTGCAATTAGTGAGTATAAGTCAATTTATAATTTTTCTAATGCAGAGCACAAGTCACTAAAACCAACCAAAAACAGAATAAACAAAATCACAAATATTTCTAACACCAAAAACCCCCTAGTTCAAACCACAAACGCAATAAAACAATCCACAAAAAACATACCGGAAACCTCCTAATGCAAACCACAAATTCGCTAAAATATATAAAAAAATCCCACAAAGCAAACCATAAATATTTTGCAAAGCACACCAGAAACCCCCTAATGCAAACCACAAACACGGTAAAGCAAACAAAAAACGTCCTAATGCAGACCACAAATATATTAAAACAAACGAGAAACCTCGCAAATCAAACCACAAAATTATCGAAAGCACACCAGAAATTTCTTAATGCACACCAGAAACCTCCTAATGCATACCACAAATCTCCTAAAACAAACCACAAACCTCACAAAGCAAACCACAACATTTACGAAAGCACACCAGAAACCTCCTAATGCAAACCACAAACACAGTAAATCAAACCACAAAAAAGCAAACCATAAACGTCCCAATGCAAACCACAAATATATTAAAACAAACCAGAAACCCCTCAATGCAAACCACAAAGTTTTTGAAAGCAAACCAGAAACTTCTCAATGCAAACCACAAACACGATAAAGCAAACCAGAAACTTCTTAATGCAAACCACAAACACGATAAAGCAAACCACAAAAAGCATACAAAAATATGAGAAACTAAACCATAAATCTCACAATGCAGCCCATAACATCCGGTGGTCGTTGGCCGTTGACCGGTCAGCGAAGACCGTTGACCGGTCAGCGAAGACCGTTGACCGGTCAACGAAGACGTTGACCAAACTCCGATGACCATCAGTGAGTAGATTCCGGCGCCGATAAGCATATTCCGACCCCGATGACTAGATTCCGACACCGATAAGCATATTCCGACCACGGTGCGCATATTCCGGCGACGGTGGCATATTTCGATGACAAAAAAGCATATTCCGGCGACAAAAAAACATATTCCGGTGACCGGCGACCAGATTCCGGCGACCGATGGCCGAATTCCGGTGACCAAAATTTTGGGCTGAAAATAAAAAAAATTTACTTTTTTATTTTTTTATTATTATTTAAACATATTTTTCATAATGACAATTATACTCCTGCTTTGATTTTACACTAGGTCAACTCATCTAATAAAAAGTCATCACAACCCTAGCTTCCTATTGGTTGGAGACTAGTGTTGTTACAATAACAACACAAGGGGTGTTGTTATAGTAACCGGTCCCGACTTTTTGTTAGATGAGTTGACCTAGTGTAAAATCAAAGCAGGGGTATAATTGTCATTATGAAAAAATATGTTTAAATAATAATAAAAATAAATATTAAAAATATTAAAAAATTAAAAATATTTTTTTATTTTTTTGCCAAAAAAATTGGTCGCCGGAATTCGGCCACCGGTCGCCGGAATTTGGTCGCCGATCACCGGAATATGCTTTTCGTCGCCGGAATATGCTATTTTCTCATCGGAATATGGCACCGGCGCCGGAATATGCTTACCGGCGACGGAATCTAGTCATCGGGGCCGGAATATGCCTATCGGCGTCGGAATCTGCTCACTGACGGTCATCGGAGTTCGGTCAACGAACTTCGTTGACCGGTCAACGGTCAACAACCACCGGATGCTATGGTCTGCATTGTGAGATTTATGGTTTGGTTTCTCACATTTTTGTATTCCTTTTGTGGTTTGCTTTATCGCGTTTGTGGTTTGCATTGAGAAGTTTCTGGTTTGCTTTATCGTGTTTGTGGTTTGCATTGAGAAGTTTCTGGTTTGCTTTCAAAAACTTTGTGGTTTGCATTGAGGGGTTTGTGGTTTGTTTTAGGAGATTTGTGGTATGCATTAGGAGGTTTCTGGTTTGCTTTTTTGTGGTTTGATTTACTGTGTTTGTGGTTTGCATTAGGAGGTTTCTGGTGTGCTTTCGCAAATGTTGTGGTTTGCTTTGTGAGGTTTGTGGTTTGTTTTAGGAGATTTGTGGTATGCATTAGGAGGTTTCTGGTTTGCATTAAAAAGTTTCTGGTGTGCTTTCGAAACTTTTGTGGTTTGGTTTGCGAGGTTTCTGGTTTGTTTTAATATATTTGTGGTCTCTATTAGGACGTGTTTGGTTTGCTTTACCGTGTTTGTCGTTTGTATTAGAGGGTTTCTGATGTGCTTTAGAAATATTTATGGTTTGTTTTACCGTGATACTAGCAATTACTGGTTTTTTAGATGAGCCATACTAGCAATTTATAAGCGAAAATCGTAGGGCTTACTACATCTAAAGTAAATGTGCATTGTCAAACAAAATCATTTCAATCCCTTTAGCGCTTAAAAACCCTAAAATTGAATACCAGAGGGTCAAGTCAACTAATTTCTGAAACCCATTTACAGAAGCATGATAGCAACCGAGATACAAACAACAACAATCTTCTCTAAGCTACGGAATCATGCGAATTGAGACAGAGCCAGTTCTGAAGCTCCGTGATGACGTGTCGGCTGCGGCGGCGGCGGCCGAATCGTTGTTGGATCGGGACGTGAGGAGGCTGCTGCTGTTGGCTAAAAAGGATAGGGATTCTTGAAGCTCAGCAACGGCGTCTGATAATATATCCCTGCAATCTTCCAGCGCCATTCGTAAGCTGATGGTGGTGTTCTTCTCGCGGCAGCGATCGAAGTTGATTTTCTCGGTCAGAGCGGAGGAGAGATTGAAGGATCTCTCGGTGGCTTCGATGGTGGCGGTGATCGCCGCCTTGATGAAATCCTTGGGGTCGTTCGTATCGTTTACCGGCCGGAGGGTTTCATTGCACGCTTGCTTGTAGTTGGTGGAGGCACAAATTCGCACCACTAATTACAGAAAAATCCTGCCAAGCATCGCCCAAATGTTGACAATGTTTATTCTTTGGATGTTGAGGATGTTAGTGTTGTGGTATATGATCCACGATTGAACCTCTCCCAACAACTCGAGTTATTGGGAGCAACTGGTTCTTGACATGGTATCAGAGCCTTCTGTGACCGAGAGGTCTTGTGTTCGATTCCCGGTGACCCCCATTTGTTAAGCACATGGTATTCTTGTCTTCAGACCTGTGCAAACTTCAAGCACTTGTGAGTGACTTTCGTTTGAGGGGGTGTGTTAGTGTTGTGGTATATGATCCACGATTGAACCTCTCCCAACAACTCGAGTTATTGGGATCAACTGGTTCTTGACAGAGGAGAGGAGGAGGTGTTCAGCGTAGGTAGCAATTAGGTTTAAGGAGTCAATGAGAGAGGAAGAGTTATTGGGGTGTCGGCGAGAGCTATTCCCACACAGCCAGCACCGCCGCGAGGGAACTTCGTGGAATGCGGCAAGGAGTCGTTCTTCGGCTACGCTCCGGGGACAGTGAAGGGAGTGGCTCCGATGAGCGGGGCGGCGGAGAAGGGTCGCGAACTCGCAATTAGGGCTGGCATTTCGGTTTGCGGTTAGCGGGTAACCGCCGGTCTTAACCGAAAACCGCCGGTTACCAGCTAACTGAAAACCGACCGGTTACCTTGACGGTCGGTGGTCGGATGGGAAAAGGAGGGGGTCAGTTGACCGAGTAACCGACGGTAATTAACCGCGGTTATCCGACTAACCGGGCCAACCGAGACCCACCTCACATTCCCCAAAATACGTCCAGATTCATCCCATTCCCAGATCTTAAATAAAAAAAAAATCCCAAAGAAGAAGAAGAAGAAGCAGAAAGGGGGTGAAGAAGAAGATCCTCCGCGTCCTCCCCAAGCAGACCTTCTCCACCGACACAGCGCCAAATTCTCCGATTGCGCCATCTGCCTCGTCGAATTCGCGGTCGGGGATGAGTTCCTGGTGCTCCCGCAGTGCGGCCACGGCTTCCACGTGGACTGCATCGACACCTGGCTCGGCAACCATTCATCCTGCCCTTCCTGCCGACAGATACTCGTCGTCAACCGGTGTCAGAAGTGCGGCGGCGTGCCCTCGAGCTCCTCGTCCGCTGCGGCCGTCCCCGAAGGAGGAGGTGGAACGGAAACGGAGGCGAGATTGAAGGCGCGAGGCGGCGGGAGGCGGCGGTGACGGGAGGATGTGGATGACGGTGACGGGAGGCGGCAGTGGTTGCTGGGGGCGGAGGGTTTTAGGGAGAGAGAAGAGAATTGAGAGAGGTAGGGAGAAAGAAGGAAGAAGAAGAATCGGGAAGTGAGAGGGCCGAGGGATAAGGAGTGACTGGTGCAGAATTTTCGGATTTTTAATTTTTTTTTTTTTTTTAAGAAAAGGTAATTTTTCGGTTGGCCGGCTAACCGAGCCTAAAACCGAAACCGACCGGTCGGTTGGCCGGCTAACCGTGACCACTCTCACGGTCGGTGGTCGGCAGGTGTGCAGGGTGCCTCGGTTTAACCGATAATCGGGTTTTCGGTTTTCGGTTAAACCAAAACCGACCGGTTGACAACCCTACTCGCAATGGTGAGAGATGAGACCTGACAGCGGGTGAATTTTAATTCACTTTATTTTATTATTTTCTATCTAATTTACCCTTTTACCCTTAATGAATTTTGTTGTTATAATAACAACACTAAGAGTGTTGTTATTCTATCCGAGCCCTAATGTAACACCTTAGATAAATCCCATATCGACAAAGCACGACATGAGAGATCCATGAGCTATATGGAACAATCCTACTTTATCTGAAAATACACGTTTTGTGGTGAAAGGGATGAGTTCTTGTACGAATTTTGAAGTTAAATATGCTCAAGATGAAACAACCCAAAACCGGGTGACCTCTCCGAAAATCACAATGATGCACTCAAAAGTCAAACATGCATGCGTGACTAGATCTAAAAACATAAAAATATTTATCTAAAACATAAAATATTTTGATCATAAAAGGAGTTAGAATATTACAACCATGCTATGGCTAGACATTTCATAGTTCTCATACGAAAAGAGGGGTTTAGACTGCGAGTCTTTAATCGCCCAACAGATTCATCCAAATCTAATAAATGGGGAAACTATAATGGTGAAATGGGGCCATTAACCTCATACAGTAACTCGTGATAAGAAATTTATTACCCTAACCTAAGTAATTTCGAGGGATATCCATTAGTATGAATTTTTATGCTATCCCTAGACGTTAGTTAGGGTTAGGGAGAGAACTCTATTGACATTCACATATTAATGAGGTACCATTTGGTTAAGAGAAAATAGTATTGTGGTCAAATTTATAATACACATAAAATATGGTGACCATTTGCTGATTTCATCCAGGAGGAGTTCTTCTTCTTCATACTACTGAAAAAACGAGTGCAGGGAATGGATTGATTGGCCAGTTTGGGAGAAAGGAGGTGTTTCCCAGATTCTCAATTCGATCAAACAAGATGACAGCCAGCACGTTTCTTCTTGGCTTGTTTGCTGCCGCCATTGTCATCATCCCGGCCTCAGTCGCCGGCACCGCAGAGCAGCTGATTTCTTCGGCGGCGGAACAACGGCAGGGCAGAGTTATAGATGTGCAAGAAGGAAGAGGTCCAGAGTCAGTCGTGTGGGTGGTTCAACTCTCCGATCTTCACTTCAGCGTCCACAACCCTGAAAGGGCTCTTGATTTCATCAACATCATCGGCCCTGTTCTTAGAATGATCAACCCTTCTCTCGTCCTTATCACCGGCGATCTCACCGGTATAAGTTTCTCTTTCCCTTTTCTTCTCTTCTTCCCCAATTGATGGTGACTGGAAAAACTCTCCCATCAAAGTGCCTGTTTTCTCCCCATTTCACAGATGGAAAAAGCAAGGACTTGTTGACAATGAAACAGGACGAGATTGAGTGGCTTGAATACAAGTCTGCCATGGAAGATGTTGTGAAGAGGAGTGGGCTTGACAAGAACATTTTCTATGATCTCAGAGGGAATCACGATAGTTTTGGAGTGCCGGTCGTAGGTGGGTCATTCGATTTCTTTTCAAACTACAGCATTAATGGGCAGCTGAAGAGAACAGGAAGGGTCAACAGTGTGACACTTGAGGTAAGCTTATCTCCCTTTCTGGTCATTTGGAGAATTCAGTTCATATATTACAGTCTTTGGTGTCGAACTTTTATGTAAAGTTTTTGTCTTTTGATTTACTATTAGACTAACCCCATTACCCTCTTGCTCTTAGATGTTCCGATAATGCAAATGTTTCTTCCTCAGCTAAATGTGCTTATCACAAGAGCAACCTCTGCTTAACTATAATGCAAGTCCTGAGTGGAAGCAATTCTAATCTACTGAAATCTCTAACAGGCTTCACTATTTGATTCGTGTATATGCATTTATGCAAACTAGGGAATATGTCTAGACGGACAATTCATACTGAGTTTGAACTGCAGTTTCTAAGAATCAGTCTTATGCATCTCAATGACGGGGATGCTAAGCTTCCATTTTTTCCTGCTCTGTTGTATTATGCAGACTGCAAAGTACAAGCATCTATTTGTTGGGCTGGATACCACGATGCCGATCGGTTTACGAGGTCCGACTAATCTCTTTGGGCACCCAACGGATGAATTACTGGCTGAACTAGACTCGCAACTTTCACAATGGGATTCTCAACCTGGCAAACCAGTTATCAAGATACCCTTTGGTCATTTCCCGCTTTCATTCTCTGCACTCTCACAGTCTCAAAGAAGCCTGGAAGATATTTTTCTCAAGCATTCCGTGTCTGCTTATCTATGTGGTCATCTTCATACAAGGTTTGGTAAGAATTTGAAAAGACATCACCAAGTAAGTGATAACATTCGGACCTTGCAGAAGTTGGTCCAGTTAAATATGCACCACTTGCCTTCAGACAGTTCAATTAATTGTTCATTTGGAGCCACACAACCCAATGAGTTCTGGGAGTGGGAGATGGGTGACTGGAGGAGGAGCAGAGCAATGCGTATCGTGGCTATTGATAGAGGTCATGTTTCATACATTGATTTAGACTTTAAGGTTGGACTTAGGAAAACTATTGTAATGCCCACATTTCCACTTGACTCTCGGTTCATGTTAACATCTTCATCACGTCGAAAGTATGAGTGTCAACATATGGTTCCTTCCTCTTTTGAGACGGTTAGGGCTCTTGTTTTTTCTGCTTCCCCAATTTTATCAGTGGTGGTCAGGATTTATGATTCTAAACCTGGAACTTTTGATATGGTCATGGAGACGGAAATGACAAAGATTTCTGGAGAATCATCCAGAGCTGAGTTTTATGCTGCTCCATGGAATTATAGGGCCTTTGAAGACCCATCTCCGGACAGATATTGGCTGCAAATAGAAGCGATTGATGCAATGCAAAGATCAACTGTCAGTGAAATGAGGGCATTTTCTATTGATGGCATAACTGCTCAGACCTCATGGACATGGAAAGAATTTTATGTAATGGGTTTTCAATGGTCTGAACTATATTACCCGATTCTGTGGTCAATTGTGTCTTTGATACTGTCCACTCTTCTAATTCCGAGAGCTCTCCTCATTTTCTCAAGGAAACAATACACTTACAGATATTTCATTGCTGGAAAAGGGTTTGTTAGAGGGATACCATGGGTTTTGCTAGAACTATGCAGGCTTCCTGTTGTATGGTCTGGCATTTTGGGATATGTCATCTACCTCATAGTATGCCCTTGGTTTTTGGGGCAAGTGTTTGTTCACAATGAGAAGAAAGTGTACATGACATATATGGGATGGGCTGTGGAATCTTTTAATCAGCAGGGAAAGCATGAATATATTGGAGTCCCAGATGTGATGGTGCTTGTTCTTCCCCATCTTGTCTTTGTGGTTTTGCCCACGATTTTTGTGACAGGAGGATTCGTGGCTGAAAGAAGTATTTACAGAGAACACGTTCTTTCCCTGTCAGGAAAGAAAGAAGACGATGATTGCAGTCAGAAAATCAGAACATCAAAATGGTATGGACAGAGGTGGATCCGAAAGGTTCTCTTGGTGGTTGCCTTAGCAATTTACTGGAAGCATTTTAAGGTAAATTAGAAAATACACATGTTCGCATGTTCATAGCAAATGATTTTCAGAGCATGCTCCCCATTATTCATGACATATTAGCCCGTTGAAATGAAAACCTTTCAATTCCATGTTTTGTTCAGGAACAACTGACTATTTGGGAATGCATGGTGATAAGTTTGTTTTCTTGTTTGTCCTTGTCATAATAGAGTTGCAGGTCTCTCATGAAAGCTTTTGAGATGAATCCATTGATCCATTTCCCAGTGTATGCCCTTGCCATTCCACTTCTGTTGGCCTATACCATTTACCAAACCCGGACAATCTAATTGATGGAGACAGGGCAAGAAGGTGGTGCTGCGGCTTGCTTTCTTGACAAGCAAATGATTCTGAAAGGTCGTCTATCTTTTCTTACCGGCCTCGTCAATGCTCAAATGCACCTCAAATGTCATATGAACTTGTAAATGAGCATCCTAAACTGTCATTTCTACAACAAGAAGAAAGCTTAGCAGCCTCAAGTTCTTACAAGGATGCTTCAAGAAAAGGGGACCGGTTGGGACACATGAAGAGAGGTATGGCCTTAAGTCGATCTTGGCTTGCCCTAGCTGAAGAGTAGTTACTACTCCTATATAATGTCTGCTGTTGCAGTTCTTTGTAGAAGAGATGTATTATGGAGTTTTCTGATTTTGTTTCCCTTCTGAATAGTTGAAGCTGAAACTACAAACTTGAGAAATTTTTCCAAGGAAGATAATATACCAATTTTTTCCTTCTGTATGAGTTATTATCTCAACCAAAGCAACTCTAATATAGATGTATTCCAAATACCTTGATACAAATCAGCCAACTTAATTGTATGCAAACCTAGCTTTATAAAAATTTAGTTCCTTATTTGAAAAATTCCCGCATGGATTTTATATTAAAGACCATTAATCCATCCCATAAAGGAAAAAATCAAGAATATGTTTTCCCCTCTGATTTCATTGGATAATATTTGAATTTATTAACAAAAATCCTGAGGTTAAATACACCAAAAAAGTATCATTATAGGAATTAAGGATATGAGATCTGATAGCCCCTAAATAATGCTTGAATCCCCACTCATAAACCAGATTCTTTTCCTTCTCTAGATAATACTCTCATAACATGGGAATAAATCTGTAATTGTCCAACACATTTTGGTCCCTATAAAAATCAAACAAACACAACCCTTTTCCCCATCTCATATCCACAAAGCACTCACCACACCAGCAAATTACTGCAAACTCTCAAACAGAAGCATTTGTGTTCATCAGTTTGTGGGTTATATATCAGAATGAAAACATCAATGAATGCCATAGCGACCGTTTTCATGGTGGCATTGATAACTTTGGGGTCATCGTCAACAACTACACTGGTGAATGCGCAGCTAGCCGCCGTGACATGTCCAGGCGCCCTGCTTCAGCTGCTGCCCTGCCTGCCATTCCTCACCAAGCAAGTCGCATCCCCGCCTGCCCAATGCTGCTCGAATGTTAAGCTGCTGAACGACGAGGCGAACACCGCTGCCATCCGTCAGCAGCTCTGCAAGTGCTTCAAGCCTGCTGCCATCACCTACAAGGTCGATCCTGCCGTCGCCAAGGCTCTCCCTGGCTTGTGCCGCGTCAATGTCCCCGTCCCTATCGATCCCAAGATCGACTGCAACACGTAAGTTAATCGCGATCGCGCTTATATTTGTTTATAATGGTCTGAACAAATATGTATAGTTAACTTGGTTTGGACTTAATGGTATGTGTTTGTGTGTTTCCCCCCTGCAGGATTTCCTAGATGTGAGATACGGATGAAGTTGTGGAGCCATGGAAGGCGATGGGCCTCCATGGATCTTGGACCAGAGTTTGCTATACAAATTAATGAAATGGTGTTGATGATGATACATAAAACACAGTTCTTCGATGGTTGATTACTGCACACACAGGGAAAGGAAGTCGGAATAAACAGCTAGCTAGCTTGCTTAGTTAATAAAAACAGAAGTTGTGTTCTATATATGTGTTTCATTTTTAGAATCGTTTTGCAATGTCTTCACCTTCAACTAAACAAATTAATTTGCTATGTACTTCGAATATAACTCCAAGTGTGGGTATCAATATATCATATATCTAGCTGTTTTTGGTGCAAACATATATAAGAAAATTTGTTTTCATACATATTTATATTTTTTTCTCGTTGGCATATGTCAAAACATCAAGAATAATTGATAAGTTGTGTATGGTATTTGTTACGATTTAGCTGACATTCAATATTTCTCGACGATGATTTAAGTATCTTAAGTTTAACTTGTGTATTGTAATTGACTAACACATGAATATGGGATTGATTTCCTAGCTCGAATTTGTTGAGAGACTGTATCGTGCATGAGTTGCATGGGGATTGGGCCATGCCCATGTAAACCTAATTGTGGGCCCAAATGGCTATTAGGAACAAGGGTTCTCGGCTAGGGTTTATGGAGTGTAGCCGACGTGTATATATGTATGTGCTAAGTGAGTTGTGGAATAATAAGAAAAGTAGAACTCTTCCCCGTGGACTAGTCTTGTTCACAACGAACAAGGAAACCACGTAAATCTTGTCCCGTTTCGATCATCTTCAGTTCCGTTTCGATTAACTATTGTTTCGATTTTCATGGTATCAGAGCCTGCAATGGAGGTTGAGGCTATCAACGCAAAACTCAACTCGAAGAACTTTGCGCTCTGGGAATTTCAGTTCCGAACCTTCATAGAAGGTCAAGGGTTTGCCGGGCACCTTGACGGGTCTGTGCAGAGGCCTCTCGTTCCTCCTGCTTCTGATCAGGAGGTTGCCAGGTGGGTGCAATCGGATGCCAGGGTTCGGTCTTGGCTTTTGAAATCTGTGGATGCTTCTATAGTTTTGGGCCTTCGTCTTCTTCCAACGGCAGCCGCTATGTGGAAATCCCTACAGGATACTTATGCTACAACGAGTGTGGCCAGGCAATTTGAGCTAGAAATCGAGCTGGGGAATCTCCATCAAGGGGATCAAGATGTCACGACTTATTTCAATTCCGCGAGGCTACTATGGACAGAGCAGGATCTTCTATCTGCTGCGCTGCTGTCCGCTCCAAGATCGGCCGAGCTGCAGGCCGAGAGAAATCGTACGAGGCTGCTCCAGTTTTTGGCCCGGTTGCGGCCCGACTTTGAGAGTGTACGCGCTACTCTTCTCAATCGAGAAGATCTGCAATTGGAACAAGTGTTGGGAGCCCTTGTTCGGGAGGAAACCAGGCTGCGTACACAAGCTTCCATTGACGCACGACCTGGGCATGCAGATGGTACAATTTTTTTTGCTGCCGCCAAAGGGAACCCGATACCTGGAGCTGGTTCGTCGCCAGGAGGAGGGACTGGTGGTCGCCAGGGCCGCCGTCCAGCTGGGAGCGATGATCAAGAGGAGTTTGGTGATGCGGCCTTCGCTGCATATCGTGGTGGAACCTCTCGCCGTGAGGTCGAGTGCTACCATTGTCACGAAAAAGGCCACACAAAGAAATATTGTCGCCGGCGTAATTTTTGTGTGTATTGCAAGACTAAAGGGCATATCATCCCTGATTGCCCTGCCATTCAGCAGCGTGCGTCCGAAGGTGGAGCTCCTGGGCGCGGCGGGAGCGGTGGTGATTTTCAGTCTCGGCGTGGTGGTGATTTTTCGGGCCAAGGCGGTGGAGATTTTCAGGCGGCTCGTAATGGTAATGGTTCCCGGTCAGCCTTTGCAACTCAACCAGCTGCTGGGAACGAGGGGATACTGGTCACGTCGGCCACTTTGGAGCAGCTTGTGAACAAAGCCATCTCCTCTGCCTTCGCAAGTCTCCAAGCATCCGATAAGTTCCCTTCGTGGATCCTTGACTCTGCTTGCTTTAACCACATGACGAATAAAGCTTCTATGTTGACTAATGTGCGTCCTGTTGAGAATTTATCACTCCAAGTTGCGAATGGCACTCACCTTCCAGTGGCGGGTATTGGTTCTGTTCATAAGCCGTCATTGCATCTTCCTAACACTTTCTATGTGCCGAAACTGGTGCCTAGCTTGGTCTCTGTGGGTCAATTGACTGAGCAAGGTTGTCGGGTGGTATTTGCACCGACTGGTTGTTCTGTGCAGGATCTGAAGACGGGGCGGGAGATAGGCAGGGGTAGCAAGCAAGGGCGTATTTTCCACCTTGAGGAGCTTGACGATTCGTCATCATCATCCGCGTCTGCCTCTCATTTGTCGGTGTCTAGGGTATCACAGTCCTCCTTTCCAGTTTTTTCGAGTCTTGGTGACAAACATTTTCAGTTATGGCATTCCAGATTGGGTCACCCAAATTCTAGTCGGTTAAGTACTATGTTTAAACAACATTTATTTGGAGATAAGGTGGCACATCCTTGTGATTTTAAGTGCACCAGTTGCGTTGAAGCAAAGACTACACGTATTTCGTTTCCGTCTAGTCTTACTGTTATTACTGAACCCTTCCACTTGATTCACACGGATCTTTGGGGTCCGAGCTCAGTTACTTCTCGCAATGGATACAAGTATTTTTCACTTTTTGTTGATCATGCCACTAGATATACTTGGGTGTACTTCTTACGTCTTAAATCTGAGCTCCTGTCTGTTGCCACAGAATTTTTGAAAATGATCCAGACTCAATTTGATAGGACCGTTCGTGTAGTCCGTTCTGATCCCGGTGGTGAGTTTAGTTCGACTCCTTTGCTCAATTTATACAAATCTCTTGGGATTTTGTCTCAAAAATCATGTCCTGGCGTCTCTCAACAAAATGGTCTCGTTGAACGTAAAAATCGTCATGTCTTAGAGGTTACTCGAGCTCTTTTGTTGGCTTCTCATGTCCCTTCCTCGTTTTGGCCTGAGACTGTTGCCACCGCTGTCCGGTTGATTAATTATCAAATCACACCTGTTTTGGGTCAAGTTAGTCCTTTTTTCAAACTTTTTGGCAAACATCCATCCTACTCTCGTCTTCGTGTCTTTGGGTGTATGTGTTTCGTGCTTCTTCCCCGCTCAGAACGCACCAAATTGTCCTCTAAAACGGCGAAGTGTGCCTTTCTTGGCTATAGTGATATACATAAGGGGTATCTTTGTTATGATCCTCACCTTCGTCGTCTTCGCGTCGCTTGTAATGTGGTCTTCTTTGAAAACGTCATGTTCTATTCGTCCGCGTCCGACTCCACCCCGTTATTTGATGTCTCCCTTGGTCTTCCCTCATTTTCCGATGATGATGATGATGCTGATGACTTTTCCGATCAGGCGCCACCTCCCAGTCCGCCACCCCTGACTCCAGTGCCTGATTCTCCTGCCTCGTCTTCCAGCGGGTCGTCCGGCTCTTCCTCCAGCGGGTCTTCTTCAGCTTCTCCGGTTTCCAGTGGTCCGGCATCGTCTTCTTCAGCTCCCCCATCTACCCCGCCTGCTCCTCCTGTCCGACGCTCCACTCGAGCTAACCTGGGGGTGCCCCCTACATTTTTCGATGACTATGTTTCCTTTCAGGTTGCTCCGGTTTCCATTCCAACCCGTTACTCTCAAGCCAAGGGTGATCCTCGTTGGGATGGTGCGATGACAGAGGAGATTTCAGCTCTTCACGCCAACCATACGTGGGATATCGTGCCGCGACCTCCTCCTGAGATTCCCGTGGTTGGCAGCAAATGGGTGTATGACATCAAAGTTCGACCTGATGGTACTTTGGAGCGATTTAAAGCTCGCATGGTGGCACAGGGATTCACTCAGGAATATGGCATTGACTTTGAGGAGACGTTTGCTCCGGTGGCTAAGATGGTCACGGTTCGTACTCTTTTGGCTGTTGCTTCTCTGCGTAGTTGGCCCCTGTATCAGCTTGATGTGAAGAATGCCTTTCTTCATGGGGATCTCAAGGAGACGGTTTACATGGAATGCCCTCCTGGATACGCCTTTGCTACTCCTGACCAGGTTTGCTTACTTCGTCGTTCTCTTTATGGCCTTAAGCAGGCACCGCGGGCGTGGTTTGATAAATTTCAATCTACTATCGTCGGCCTGGGATTTCATCAGAGTCTTAATGATCCCTCTTTGTTCACTCGGCATACTTCTCGTGGTTTGGTGGTCTTACTGCTCTATGTGGATGATATGATCGTAACCGGTGATGATGCTGCTGGTATTGCCTCCTTGACTAAGGGGCTTCATGAGTCTTTCAATCTCAAGGAACTAGGCTCTTTATCTTACTATCTCGGCCTTGAGGTGACTCGTTCCCAGTCTGGCATTTTGCTCAGTCAGACTAAGTACATTGATGATCTGTTGGATGCTGTTCATTATCGCGACTGTATTCCTGTTTCGACACCTATGGAGCTGAATTTGAAGCTTGGGAAGGAGTCTGGTGATTTGTTGTCTGACGGGGGGAAGCAGTATCGCAATATTGTTGGCAGTCTTATTTATTTGGCTTCTACTCGTCCGGACATTGCCTATGCGGTACAGGTTGTGAGTCAGTTTATGTCCGCTCCACGCACAGCTCACTTAGCTGCAGTTCATCGGATTCTCCGTTATCTTCGTGGTACGAGGGATGTTGGCTTGTTTCTTCCATCGACAGGGCCCTTGGTTCTTCAGGCCTTCTCAGATTCGGATTATGCTGGCTGTATTGATACTCGTCGGTCTACTACTGGCTGGTGTATTCGACTTGGCAGTTCTGTTATCTCCTGGCGATGTAAGAAACAGGAGAGGGTTTCCAAGTCTTCGACTGAAGCGGAGTATCGTGCTATGTCAGATGTTACTTCGGAGCTTGAGTGGTTGTGGCGTCTTCTCGGTGATCTTGGTGTTACTTGTAGTACTCCTATGGAGCTTTATGTGGATAATACGAGTGCTATTCGTATTGCTACTAATCCCGTGCTTCATGACCGCACTAAACATATTGAGGTACACGTGCACTATATTCGAGACTTGGTTCGAGATGGGACAATTCGTGTTTTCTACATAGCCTCTGAAGACCAGCTAGCTGATTTGCTCACTAAGACGTTTACAACGGCTCGACATTCGTTCTTGGCGGGCAAATTGATGATGAGATCTCCCCATCAATTTGGGGGAGGCTATTGAGAGACTGTATCGTGCATGAGTTGCATGGGGATTGGGCCATGCCCATGTAAACCTAATTGTGGGCCCAAATGGCTATTAGGAACAAGGGTTCTCGGCTAGGGTTTATGGAGTGTAGCCGACGTGTATATATGTATGTGCTAAGTGAGTTGTGGAATAATAAGAAAAGTAGAACTCTTCCCCGTGGACTAGTCTTGTTCACAACGAACAAGGAAACCACGTAAATCTTGTCCCGTTTCGATCATCTTCAGTTCCGTTTCGATTAACTATTGTTTCGATTTTCAGAATTATGTTTTTTTTTTTACGAATCAGCTCGAATTATGTTAGAACCAATACAAACGATCGCTTTTGAGGTTCGAAACTGCATTGACCGGTCTGACCTAAAAAACTTTAAGGACCGCCTGGTATATATAAACTTCATATGTTCCAATAATTTGACAATTTAGAGTCATGAATAGAGGTTTAAGCACCATGCTTAATCTATAAGAAAAGTTGACTAACCCATACACAATATCCAATCCCTGAATGAAAACTAGATACAAAAAATGGCTAGTTAATACTAGAAAATCTCTTAACCAAATTGGGGTTAATGACTTGATGTAGCGATAATATGGGATGAGACCATCTACCACAGTTTAGATTCAAACTTTGTAACCAACAACCAACGAAAAAAATAGTATTTAAAGATGGGCAATGACTCGACTAGATGCTAAAATCCACCCATTCCAGGTTCTGGTGGATGGTGAAAAATGTCCTATCATAAACTAACTAGTCTCAATAACTCCAATTGCGAGAGAATATTATTTATGAATCTTATACTACTCTTTTACATACCCTATCAAACGAAAGCCAACTGATAGGGCAAAAGCGTATATGCCTTAATCCTATCTTGTAGTAAACCGGAAAGTCCGGGTATCGTCTCTCAGGGACTGGTACAACCTTACGTTCTATCAACTTTACTGAGCAAACTATAGGTGAAAATGGTTTAATGAGACTAATTATCTAAAAGCAAAATAATTAAACTAATTAAGCAAAGTAAATTGGTCGGGAGAAATTCAATGGAGAAAGCTCTGGGAGAAACACCGGGATTCACTACCTATCCTATCCAGATTAATTCACATATTATTCACTACCTATCCTATCCAGATTAATTCACATATTCCAATCAATTTAATCCAACTCTCTACAGACAGGATATCACTACTGTGTTAGCTATCCCTGTCGGGAATTACTACGTACTAAATAATCAATTCAAATCCTACTGTCGTAGCTCAATGAATTAATTATTTAGCCTGAAGATCGATATCCTATTTAAGACCGCATAGCACCTTATTTAATCCACTGTCGCTTCGATAAGTTACTATGTCACATGAAATAGGTTCAGTTATTAGGGTTTCACTGTCGCTAATAACCTAATTAACTACAAATCATTGTATTGGTGGCCAGTCAACACAAAGCATTAAGCAATTTCATGCAATAGAGATTGGAAGAAAAGAAATACGCATCAATCCATCAAGATTAGAAATAGCTACATCCTATGGTGTTTCCCCCAGAAATTGGGGTTTAGTTCATGACGAAATTGAGATAAATCGATAGGGATTTGTTCATCATGTTCTAAATCAACAATACACAACTAGTTAGGTTCAGAAAATCCAACCAACTAATCACTCTCGTTGAACTCAGCTCAAGCCTTGGAAAAACTAATCGCCAGTTGCCGAACGAAGGAATCCGCTCGTCCTCTGCCTGTGCTGCGCCTTTTGCTTTTTTCGCCCAAAGAGTTCTTCGCTCCCAGAATAATTCCGTGTGTCCCAGCCGCCTTCCTCTTGTTCCGTATGTCCAATCCTTTTCCCTTTAGAGAATTCCCCTCGTCCAGTTAATTGGACTTCCGTCCCAAAAATTAGCCTCACTTCAATTCCCGGGCCCAATTGTTTCTCCTCTTGTCTTCTGTGTCCAATAAGAAATCCCCATCCAGCTGGGCTTAAAGAAATGTTTGCCGGTGCAACTTCATTTTCGTGTTTTTTTCACCTGTAATACATCAAACTCATAGCACTAGGCAATAATGGGTTTTCAACCATTCTCGGGTTAGCGAGCCCTAAAATAGCACCAATTGGCTAAAACACACCACGGATAATCACATAAAGTCCAAGAATTCAATATGTTAAAGCCGATTATCACAACCCCACACTCAATTGTTGCTTGTCCCTAAGCAACGACTCAAACAACACAAACACACAATCATCCAAAACAATGACACATTACAGACTCACTAATCAAACACTCAAAACGAAACGCAAAATTTCCTTGTACTCTTGTTGTAATCAGTAGTTTCTTTCTCAACGGATAAGTTGTGCTTTAATGGTCATACCTTTCACCCCACACTCAAGTTCTTTGCAACCATTACCATTGACTGACTCAAATCCATCAAAAACTCAAATAGCAACACTCAATTTCGATCGTCGGTAGTGGGTGGTTAACAACTTATGGTGCAACAATTATGAGGAGAATCTAACCACATTAGTGAGGTGCATATCTCGTGAGGACAGTCTGGCTTACTCACACCAATCATAAGCAATTAATTAGGCACGAGTCTCAAAAACTAATGGGGGAAGCCTTTCGCAAACATGATTTTAACTTTAAGCACATCACTACCTTTTATGACAAGGAGAGGCTTTCTCTCTTTCTGCTTTTGCTTGCCGAGAAGTCGTATTTAGTACAAGTGGGATTTGTTTCTTACTATCGGTGACCGAGCAAGAGCAATTTCTGCTTCTTAGCACTCGCATAAGGGCTTCTTTTAACTCCTTTTCCTCGGTCCGTGTGGAGGGTCATTGCATCCTCAAATGGCACTTCACTCAACTGGGGATCGTACTTGATAAGCAACATCGTACGGTCGCGAACCGATTCTCAATTGAATCTTTCCTAATCCCCATGTGCAATGAGTGATTGCCTCACACGATTTTGGCATTTTTACCCACACTTTAATTGTTATGGCAACTTTCTTATCTTTTACTTGTCAGGTAGTGTTTTCTTTTATAAAGATACAGTTCACCCCATCATAAAACATTCAAAACAGAGATACTCATTGCAAAATCAAAAGCTCAGAATTGATGCAAGTAAGCACGGTATCCAAACATGTCGAATGGTCAATGTTCTCCACCTAACTACTTCACCAAAAGTCATTACACTATCCTCACAAAAGAGACTGTTGCTAAAAGAGTTGCTCATTCCAAGCATATCAAGTCAGTCAAAACATTTAAGCTCATTGTGAAGAACCATGCAATTCAACACTAGTGGGGGATTTCGATGATTTCATTCAAGCACAAACTCATTTTCAAGGCATCACGGTCATTTACATCATGTTACCACAAGAGTACAAGGTTTTGCTTTTAATTTTTCTCATTTTTAGGTGTTTTTTAGCCATTAGCTTTGCACAGGCAAACTGCATGCAGTTTGGCTGTGCTCAACCTAATGGCAAAATTTTTATTTTTTTTTGGTTTTTTTTTTTACATGCAATAGGGACAAACAAACACTAAGACTCACCTTAATGGCAAAAAAAAAAATTTTGGTTTTTTTTTTACATGCAATAGGGACAAACAAACACTAAGACTCACCACCCCACACTCAGGATGGAACATTGTCCCTAATGTTCAACTCCTAATCTAAACATGCACGGGTTTGACACAACTAAAAAGAAAAATAAAGAAAAGAAAACTTACCTTGGGTTGCCTCCCAAGAAGCGCTTGTTTAACGTCTTCAGCCTGACATTCATGGAGCTTTCAACCAATGGGTATGGAAAGGTATCCAGAATACCCTCCCGAGCAATGATAGAATGCATAACCTCCATCCAACATATGAGTCACCTCTGCAGAGCCAGGTGTGCGAAAATTTGGTGTGACCTTCTTAGTTGGCATGTTGGATCCTTTAGTGAGGCGTAGGTGGTACTGCAGCGCCTCAAGCAGGTACTCTTCCTGTTTCAATGTCAGTGAAGAAGGAATAATAACAGGAAGATTGAAATCCTTACCCAAATATCTATACTTGAGGTAACCTGGCAAGGATTTCTGCCCTTGCTTTGACTTCAGAATCTGAGCAGATAGGATAGGTGATAGTTCTTCGGATGGTCCACTATCACAGGAAGAGGGATTTTTCCTTTCTCGAGCTCCACTTTCAAATTCATCATGATTATGGTCAACTTGAAAGACATTAAAAATTTCCTCCTCCTTACCTACTCGGAATGTCAACTTGCCTCTCCCAACATCGATGAGTGCATCACCGGTTGCTAGAAAAGGTCTGCCGAGAATTAGAGGCACTCCTCGATCATCTTCCATCTCCAGAATTACAAAATCTGTTGGGATAATAAACTTCCCCACCTTCACCAATACATTCTCCACCACTCCCTTTGGAAGTTTCACTGATCGATCGGCCAATTGGAGAGTGATCCGAGTAGGCTTAAGAACATCTCCCAATCCCAATTTCTTGTAGACTGAGTATGGCATTAAATTTATTCCTGCTCCAAGATCACAAAGTGATTTATTGAACTCTGTACCTCCAATGACACATGGAATGGTGAAGATGCCCGGATCATCCCTCTTTTCTGGTAATTTATTCTGAATCACAGCACTACATTCAGAAGTAAGGGTAACCTTCTCCAGATCAGCCCATTTGCGCTTCTTCGTCAGCAACTCCCTTAAGAATTTAGCATATGTGGGCATCTGTTCAAGTGCCTCCGCCAACGGTATGTTGATATGAAGTTGCTTGAAGATATTCACAAATTTCTTGAAGTTTGGGTCTTCCATGGGCTTCATTAACCTTTGAGGGAATGGTGCGGGAGGTTCATAAGGCTTTACCTCTTCGCTCTTCAATTTTTCCACTTTTTGAGGTACACGGGCAGATTGCTTTTGCACAGGCAGATTGCATGCAGTTTGCCTGTGTAAGTCAGATTTTTCAGCTTTTGCACTTTCTTCCTCTACAGCTTCTTTGCCCTCCTTTTCTACCGGATTTTTCTTGCTCTTTGGATCCTCCAACTCCTTCCCACTCCTCAATGTGACTGCTACAACCATGGCATCCTTTGGATTCCTCTCGGTATTAGCCGGTAATGTCCCAGGAATCCTGCCTTGCATATCCGCCAGAGTTTGAGCCATCTGTCCCATCTGCCTCTCCATAGCTAGCATAGACGATTGTAAATTATTGTTGATGGCTAGCTGTTGAGTGACAAATTGATCAAGACCCTTCAGATTATTGTCGGTTTTCTGCATGTGAGCCAGAAGCAATTCTTCAAGTTGTGGTTTCTTCTCTGGTTGAGATTGTTGTTTCTGCAGGCCTGGATGTGGAATGTTGCGAGCACCAGCTGGGTTGTTGTTTGCCCAGGAAAAGTTAGGATGCTTCCTCCATTGCGGGTTGTAGGTATTTGAATACATACCTCCCTGGCCTTGATTGTAGTGCACATCTTCCAACTGATCAGCTACCAGTGGACATAGATCCCTATGATGAGCACCTTCACATAGTTCGCAATAAGCAACCTCCTCCTGTCTACCAAGAGCCAACTTAGCCAGCCTTCGTTCGAGTGCATCGAACTTGGAATCCAGCTTAGCATCAATCTTTGCTTCTAGACTTGCAACTCTGTCTATCTCATGCAAGCCTCCTCTTCTTCGAATGCTGGTTTCACTTCCCCATTCAGTATCTTCAGAGCATATCTTCTCCACCAGTTCATATGCTTCTGGTGCCTCCATTCTTGTGAAACCATTCCGGGAAGCATTATTCAGAGCATCTCGGAATTGTCTTCTGATTCCGTTGAAGAAGATGGAGATCACATTCCAATCTTCAAGACCGTGGCTCGGGCATCTCATTAGAAGCTCCTTATAGCGCTCCCATGCCTCGGTCAGACTTTCATCCTCAGCTTGTTTAAAAGTGACAATTTCCTCTTGCCTCTTCATTGCCTTGGCAGGAGGAAAGTACTTATCCAAAAAGGTCTTCTCAAGCTGACCCCATGTTGTGATGGAACGGGGTGTCAAGTTCTGGAACCAGTGTGATGCATTCCCTAGCAGAGAAAATGAGAACATCCGAAGACGGATGGCATCATCAGACACAGTCGGGCTCTTCATCGTATCACAAATGCTTGCGAACCGGCGAAGATGTTCATGAGGATCCTCAGTGCTGGCCCCGGAGAAGGTGTACCCATTAGTGATCATATTGATGAAGGCTGGGGTAATCTCCATGTTTGCATCCCCAGCCGGAATGACCACACATGAAGCTCGGGCTCCAGTCCTCCGATTCAGACGAGCCCTGATCGAACGATCCTGTTCTGCCATGATGTCTGGCTCGATGATGCGCGGTGGCGGTGTCGGTGGTGTCGGGATGACAGGTGGTGAAACCTGCCTTCTCGGTTGACGATTCTGGGTTAGGGAAGGCCTAGGAGTTGTGGATGTGGTAGGCTGCTTCCCTAACTTGACCTGCTTCCTGTTCTGTCGGCAGGTCCTCTCTATCTCCGGATCTAGTGGCAGTAAATTGCCAGTCGTCCTCCTAGGCATGCACGAGGAGGATAAACCTGAAAATTCTTCTACACACTAACACCCAGATCAAAATAGTTCACTCACAAAAATCAATAAAAATAAGATATGGCAGTCCCCGGCAACGGCGCCAAAAACTTGATAGGGCAAAAGAGTATATGCCTTAATCCTATCTTGTAGTAAACCGAAAAGTCCGGGTATCGTCTCTCAGGGACTGGTACAACCTTACGTTCTATCAACTTTACTGAGCAAACTATAGGTGAAAATGGTTTAATGAGACTAATTATCTAAAAGCAAAATAATTAAACTAATTAAGCAAAGTAAATTGGTCGGGAGAAATTCAATGGAGAAAGCTCTGGGAGAAACACCGGGATTCACTACCTATCCTATCCAGATTAATTCACATATTCCAATCAATTTAATCCAACTCTCTACAGACAGGATATCACTACTGTGTTAGCTATCCCTGTCGGGAATTACTACGTACTAAATAATCAATTCAAATCCTACTGTCGTAGCTCAATGAATTAATTATTTAGCCTGAAGATCGATATCCTATTTAAGACCGCATAGCACCTTATTTAATCCACTGTCGCTTCGATAAGTTACTATGTCACATGAAATAGGTTCAGTTATTAGGGTTTCACTGTCGCTAATAACCTAATTAACTACAAATCATTGTATTGGTGGCCAGTCAACACAAAGCATTAAGCAATTTCATGCAATAGAGATTGGAAGAAAAGAAATACGCATCAATCCATCAAGATTAGAAATAGCTACATCCTATGGTGTTTCCCCCAGAAATTGGGGTTTAGTTCATGACGAAATTGAGATAAATCGATAGGGATTTGTTCATCATGTTCTAAATCAACAATACACAACTAGTTAGGTTCAGAAAATCCAACCAACTAATCACTCTCGTTGAACTCAGCTCAAGCCTTGGAAAAACTAATCGCCAGTTGCCGAACGAAGGAATCCGCTCGTCCTCTGCCTGTGCTGCGCCTTTTGCTTTTTTCGCCCAAAGAGTTCTTCGCTCCCAGAATAATTCCGTGTGTCCCAGCCGCCTTCCTCTTGTTCCGTATGTCCAATCCTTTTCCCTTTAGAGAATTCCCCTCGTCCAGTTAATTGGACTTCCGTCCCAAAAATTAGCCTCACTTCAATTCCCGGGCCCAATTGTTTCTCCTCTTGTCTTCTGTGTCCAATAAGAAATCCCCATCCAGCTGGGCTTAAAGAAATGTTTGCCGGTGCAACTTCATTTTCGTGTTTTCTTCACCTGTAATACATCAAACTCATAGCACTAGGCAATAATGGTTTTTCAACCATTCTCGGGTTAGCGAGCCCTAAAATAGCACCAATTGGCTAAAACATACCACGGATAATCACATAAAGTCCAAGAATTCAATATGTTAAAGCCGATTATCACCAACTAACGGGCTTGAATTTTGTACAAGTGAACAGTACTTTGTATTTTAATCAACTATTAACATTGGATCGTGGAGATTCGAACTCACGACCACTTGGTCAAACCAGATATGATAATCTGTAATCCATACTATAATCTTGAGAATCCACACCACTATTAAATAACAATATTAACCAATAATGGCAGAACTTTCTATTCCAAATTAGAAACAAATTAGCATCTGCTAAAAAATGTGATAATGCATAGCCTTGATAAAATTTCAAATGAATACCATAAACCAAGGAAAATATGCTAGAAATCACCTAATGAATATCAGATAATTTAGCCAAATTCTGGTACTGGTGGGTGAATCCCTACTAATCAATTTTCATTGACGAAAGCTAATAATGATAACCGGTTTTAGTAAAAGTGGAGATAATGTACCGTATATACTCGATTTTAAAATTTATGTCACGTACTCAATCGTATTATTGTCATTTTGATAATCTCGTCATTAGGTCAGAAAATAAAAGTATAGTATACCATGGATGACTTGCCTACATGTACCACCCAAAATAAAATAGGATAAAATCTTTTGCCTTAAATTTAATAACTTGCTTTCAAATATATAATATCGAGGATCTCATCTATATTATATGTAGGATTAACATTTCTAATTCTATAGATTGATTTCTCTGAATGTATAAAATTTAATAGCAAAGTTTTGGCAATAAATCCCCCAAAATATCATCAGTCCCCCCCTAAATGCAATGAAATCAAACTCATGACCAGATTCTTTCCCTTCTATATATAGATAACTAAAATTTAATAGCTCAAGCCGCCGTGACATGCCCTGGCGCCCTGCTTCAGCTGCTCCCCTGCCTTCCATTCCTCACCAAGCAAGTTACCACTCCACCTGCCCAATGCTGCTCCAATGTCAAGCTGTTGAACGACGAGGCCAACACCGCCGCGATTCGTCAGCAGCTCTGCAAGTGCTTCAAGCCTGCTGCAATCTCCTATCATGTCGACCCTGCAGTCGCCAAGGCCCTCCCTGGCTTGTGCAGAGTCAGTGTCCCCGTCCCCATCGATCCCAAGATCGACTGCAACACGTAAGTTCGATCGCGATCGATCACGCTTATATTTGTGCACATGAATGAACAAAAATTGTATTATGAATTTGGTTTAATTTGTACTTAATGGTATGTGTTTTGTGTGTTTCCTCCCCTGCAGGATTTCCTAGATGTGAAATATGGATGAAGTTGTGGAGCCATGGAAGGCGATGGGCATCCATGGATCTTGGACCAGAGTTTGCTATGCAAATTCTTGAGATGGCGTTGATGATGATACATAAATTAAAACACAGTTCTTCGATGGTTGATTAGTGGAGACGCAGGGAAAGGAAGTCGGAATAAATAGATAGCTTGCTTAATTAATTAATAAAGACACAAAGTTGTGTTTATATTATGTGTTTCTTTTTTTACAATCGTTTTGCAATGTCTTCACCTTCATCTTAACAAAATTAATTTGCAATGTACTCTATGTATCACTCCAAGTGTGGGTATCTACTATCAGTAATATCATATACCTAGTTTTTTTGGGTTCAACATATATAAGAAAATATGTTTTTTATACAAGTTTTATATTTTTCTTGTTGGCATCTGTCAAAATATCAAGAATAATTTGATTATTCATGGTATTTGTTACGATCAACTTAACTAACATCCAATATTTCTCAACGGAGAGTTAAGTATCTAAAGTTTAACTTATGCATTGTAATTGACTAACACATGAATAGGAGATTGATTTCCTAGCTCGAATCATGTTAAACCCAAGCCAAACGATCGCTTTTGAGGTTCGAAACTGTATTGTCCGGTTTCACCTAAAAAACTTCACGGATCGCCCTAGTATATGTTAACTTCATATGTTCCAATAATTTTACAATTAAGAGTCATGAATAGAGGTTTAAACACCATGCTTAATCTATAAGACAAGTTGACTAATCCAAACAACAATATCCAATCCCTATGAAAGCAAACTAGATTAAAAAAATGCCTAGTTCATACTAGAAAATATCTTAATTAAGTTGGAGTTGATGTAACGGTAACGTGGGGATGAAAAACATCTACCACAGTTTAAATTCAAACTTTGCAGCCAAAGACCAACGAAAAAAATTATATATTGGCAAATTCATAGTATCTAAAAATGGCAAATGAGTGGACTAGGATGATTTTTTTTTTGTGGCTAAAATCTACCCATTCTAAGGTTTTGGTGGATGGTGAAAAAATGTCATGTCATAAACTAACTAGTCTCAATATCTCAGAGTTGTGGGAGAATGTTATTTATGAAGCTTATACTATTCTCTTACACACCTCTCAAGCAAAAGCCAATTCGAAGACTGAAATTTGCACAAGTCAATCGTACCTTGTACCTTGTGTTTTAATTAACTGTTAATATTGAATGTCGTAGAAATTCAAACACACCGAACACTTTTATCCATACTAGAGATCACCTTATATGGTACTAGATCTTGAGAATCCATACCAGTACCACTGTTAAATAACAACATTAACCAATGGCAGAACTTTCGATTCCACATTAGAAACAAATTAGCATTTGCTAAAAAGTTTGATATTGCATACCCGTGACTAAATTTAAATGAATACCATAAACCCTGCAATCCATTATTCAATTTTCATTGACAACAAGTTAATTATGACAATCGATTTCCGTAAATGTGGAGATTTTTTACAGGTGCATACTCTAATTTTGAATTTATGTTACATACTCAATCGTATTATCCTCATTTTGATCATCTCATCATTAGGTCAGAAAATAAAAGTTTACTATGAATAACTTGCCTATATACATCACCCACAATAAATATGATACTACAATACTTTACGTATTAGGTTAAATTTAATAACATGCTTCCAATTATTAATGGCGAGGATCTAATATTTGATATATGCGGGATTCACATTTCTATTTCTATAGATTGATTTCTCTGAATACATAATATTCATTATCAGATTTTTGGCATTAAATCCCCCAAATTATCCTCAATACATGTATATGAAATCAAATTTCCCCCTAAATGCAATGAAATCAAACTCATGGCCAGATTCTTTCCCTTCCATAGATAACATTCTCATAATCTGTGAAAAGCAAATCCACAATTGTCTCAACACATTTTGGTCCCTATAAAAAGCCAACAACCCTAGCTCTCTGCAAATCACCCACCACCAACAACAAGAAGCATTCCACCATTCAAACTCCAAGCATTCTATAATATCCAGTCTCTCTGTTCTTCACAATGAACACATCAGTGAACAGAAACATGAACAACACAGCTACAGTAGCTTTCATGTTGGCATTGCTAATCATGGCGACAACCAGTCCCGTGAGTGCTCAAGCCCCCGTGACATGCCCAGGTGCTCTGCTTCAGCTGCTCCCCTGCCTTCCATTCCTCACCAAGCAAGTTACCACTCCACCTGCACAATGCTGCTCCAATGTCAAGCTGCTGAACGACGAGGCCAACACCGCCGCGATTCGTCAGCAGCTCTGCAAGTGCTTCAAGCCTGCTGCAATCTCCTATCATGTCGACCCTGCCGTCGCCAAGGCCCTCCCTGGCTTGTGCAGAGTCAGTGTCCCCGTCCCTATCGATCCTAAGATCGACTGCAACACGTAAGTCGATTCGATCGCGATCGCGCTTATATGTGTGCACATGGTGTGAACAAAATTTGTATAAGCCTTGGTGGTGCTTAATGGTAGTGATTTGATCTTTGTGGTGTGTGTGTGTTTTTTTCTGCCCTGCAGGATTTCTTAGGTGTGGAAAATATGAATGAAGTTGTGGATTCATGGGAGGGTGATGGGCATGGATGTTGGGACAAGAGTTTGCTACACAAATTCTTGAGATGGGGTGAATTAATAACGACATAAATTGTGTTATATATGTATGTTCAATTTCTTTTCTACAAATCGATTGCAATGTACTCCATAACTCTAATGATCAAATATTGATCTTCTCTTCAATTGTGAGTGGCTAGATGGATATATCTAGTTATTGTTCTTTTTTGTTCTTGAAATAAGAGAATGAGTGTTTCATTTGGGCATGATTTTGTCTATTTGATTTATAAAATTTCACAATTTTTCGTTTTGTGGGTTAATGAACTCTGACGATGGGATTCTAGAATATGTAAACAGACTATGACATTTGTGGATAATATGTTGTGATCGACAATCAATTATACTTGAGAATTTTGATAAATCTATCATATAATTTGGGGGAAAAATTCAACACGTAGAACTCCGTCCAAGGCACATCTACATAACACTGCCCTTGTTTAAACACCTCTTGACTCTTATGCTCAATGTAGTCAAAATCGCGATTTAAAAACATAAAAACTTACGATTTTACGCTTCTAGATCATCAAAACGCTTCTACGCATAATCTTAGTTTATATAACTAATGTAGCAAAAAATTACACTTTAAAGCTTACGATTTTACGTTTCTAGATCACCAACACGCTTATACGTAGCCCTGGGATCCAGTTCGAGTGGAGGAGGGAGGCCGATTGCCCACTACCGATTGATGAAGCTCTAACAACCTAATCAGATTCTATCTATCTCATGTTGCAGCAGAAATCAAGAAAAGATGATCAGGCTTTAATTGACTCAATGAATCATGCATCAATCGATTAAAATAAAACAGTATCACAATCCCAAGTCATTACAATCAAGGTCCCTAACACATGGAACTAGGGTTCTTCATACCCAAGTGAGAGAAGGTTCTACTCCATAGAGAGAGAGGGAAACAGAATACAAAGCAGTCATACTCATAACAATGGGAAGAATCTGCTCTGGGATGATGATCTTCACTCCAAGGATGATTTCCAAGCTTGATTGATGAAACCCAGCTCCAAAAACCACTATTAGGGGGTGTTCTTCGCACTTTCTCTCTCCAGGGCTCTGTTTTTGCTCCAAAAAGTCGATTTTCTCTCCTTTGGCTCGAATTTGGGTTAAAACCCAGAAATTCCCGACCACACGGCCGTGTGAGTTTTCCAGCTGCCCGTGTGAGTGCAAAACGTGGCATTTCGATTAAGCGGCTTCGGGTTCGCTACACGGCCAAAACCACACGACCGTGTGGATTTCCAGGCTGCCCGTGTGAGCTCCCTGGACTTTCCACACGGCCACAAAGGGTCCCCTACACGACCAGTGTGGCTACGCGGGCGCTCTTGGATTATTCGGGATTGGACTATTTGGGGGAGGGTTTGCCTCGGTGCACGTTTCCACTGTTTCTCAAGTGGATGCTTGCCCTTGTCCATCAGTCGTCGCTGTTCATGGCTGTGGTTGCCATCCTTTGGCGGATTTGGCGGTCGCGTAACTAGGTTGTCTTTGAGTGCAAACAGTTTGGGATCCCGGCTCTAATGCGCCAGTTTCACCAGCAGTATGAGGAGTGGGTAAGCCTGCCCGTTGACCAGGCGCCGAGGGTGTCTTGCCCGGTGGGTCAGCCAGGGTCTCAAGGGGGTGATCCTCGGCTGGTTTGCATGTGGGATGGGGCCACTAGAAGGGGGTCTCACTCGGCTGGTGGAATGGTTCTTTTCGATCCGGTGCAGACTCTCCTTTCGGCCAAAGTGGTGCAGTTTCCTCAAGTGGAGTAGCCAATGGTGGTAGAGCTACTTGTGCTTAGGGAGGCCATTATTTGGTGTTTGGGGTTTGGCGTGTCTGAAGTTCGGTTTGAGGGCGATGCGAAAGTCATTATTGACAAAATTAATCAAGCAGACACAAGCGACAACTGGTTGGAGGCTGTCCTAAAGGAGATTTGTCAGCTTTTTCATGCCCATCCTGGGTTTAGTGTGCGATTTATAGGGGGGGGGGAGAACAATAGGGTAGCTCACTCGGTAGCTAGAAAAGCCCTCTCTTTGTATCCAGCTGAAAATCGCTTCTTTGATTTTCGGTCCTGGCTGATTTCTAGAATGTAACTATCTTTTTGATTGGATTAATATATATTATCTTTTGACAAAAAAACACGCTTATACGTAGAAACGCGTTTTTTACTACATTGCTTTTGTTGTTTGCTATTAACCACAAAACCGTACAGTTTTAGCTTGATGCTTTTAGCGACGATATTTGTCGTTCTATTGAGTCTAAGCAGTGCGTTTAATCCGTATCCTATTAGTGGCTGACACCCCAACTTCTCTTTCGGGAATGCTTTTCTGTCGGTCGGGGCCTCTAGTTTTTTTCGCAGAATGCAGGAGCCTCTACTATTACCAAGCACTCATCGCACCGGAATGGCCTTCATTGCTCGGTGAGAATGGAATCACCGGCTTCTTCTTCTTCTCCTTCCTGTTCAGGTTCTTCGCCTCGCACAAATGGATTCCTTCCCAGAAAAGGGGAACTCTCGTCGCACCACTTGGAATTTCTGAATCAGAAATTGGCGACCCGTGAAGATCTACTCTCCAGGGCTCCGATTCTCTCGTCCGAATTAGAGGCCAAATGCTCCGAGCTCGACGCCGATTTCCTCCAACTGCAGCGCCAACTCACGAAGCTCTCCGTTTCATGGATTTCTCGCTCCTTCGCGGCCAAATCGTCCGTCCGCAACCTCAATTTGGCGTTGGAGAATCTCAGCCTCGTCACATCTCAATGTTGGTTTGAGAATTTCTTTTCCACGTTTTGGAATGCCGCCTCGTTGTTTCTTTGTTTTGTCCAGTGTTTTGTTTGGCGAAGGAGATTCTGGGGTTTAGTCTAATTTCGTTGGACTTTTTCAGGTGGGATTGGTTCGAGGACGATTCAGAGGGTGGTGAGGGAGGAGTTGCCTCAACTTGCCAAGCAGGTCCTGCTGATCCAAACTATTCGAGAATACGCTGGTTAGTTCTAAGATTGATGTACAGAACCATTCTGTTTGTCTTTGTACAGCAAAACCCACAAGTTTCAGGTTATTTTGAATGTTTTAGTTGTAGTGCAAATGATGTCCTAGGAGTTACCATCTTGGTCTCAAAGGATAGTCTCTCATATTCACTTGGTAGATTTTGTCCTGCTGCCCTGATTCCCAAGAAGAACCTTGTATTGCTTGGTTTTCTAACACAGGAAACTATTCTGGTGCTAACAGGCTAAACTTTTACCTGTCAACTGCTGCAGATACTGCTCTGCGGTTAGAAGCTCTGGTTGGAGACCTTGAGGATGTCGTGTTCTCTAGCAGTACTTTCAGTTTGAGGAATATGGTGTCAGTAAAGCTTCTCACCTCTCAAATTTCAGTGGTAAAGAACTTTGTTACCCTTTTCGTTGTTGCTCCACAGCAGCACTTTGCTATGTTTAAATGGCATTTTCACGATCATGCATACTTCTGATCACAGGATTTTGGGCCCAAGCAAGAGTTGTTAACTCAAGCCATAAAGTTGATGAATGACATTGAGGAGGTCCTGGTTGAAATAGTGAAATCTCGTTCTCAGTGGTGCCATCTTTTGGATTCTGTCGATGCTAGGGTTGAGAGAACTTTGGCTGTAGTTCGGCCACAAGTTCTAGCTGATCACCGTGCCCTTCTTTCCTCTTTTGGCTGGCCACCTAAGCTGGCAACGTCAAAAGCAGATGGGACTGGAGGACAAGATCCTTTACCCAACCCACTAGTTTTAATGGGTGGAGACAAACGAGAGCTCTACTCAAAAAGCTTTCTGGCTCTTTGCGCATTGCAGCATATGCAAACTCGAAGAGAAAATCGTCAACGTAAGAACACTGAACAGGAGGAGCACGGGGTTGGCCTTTGGGCCATTGATGAACTGGTTTCGCCCATTGCATCGCGAATGGAATACCACTTCTCTAAATGGGCTGATCAGCCAGAGCTAATGTTTGCTCTCGTGCACAAGACTACCAGTGCATTTATAGTGGGAGTGGATGACATTTTACAGCCTTTGATTGATAAAGCAAGGCTGGTTAGCTACAGTGCAAAAGAAGCTTGGGTTTCTGCAATGGTCCAGCTGATTTCTGGGTTTCTCGCTAGAAAAGTCTTCCCGGTTCTTGTTGCAAAATACAAGGAGAAAGATTTAAAATCAGAAGCTACATCTTCATGGCTCCACTTCATAGACTGCATGGTTGGTTTTGATAAACAGATGCGATCACTAGTCAATTCAGATTCATGTTTCTTCCTGGAAGAGTCTGAAAGGTTTGAAGGGCTGTCTAGAAGTCTGTCAGTACTAGAGGTTTTTTGTGAAAACCCAGATTGGCTGAAGCATTGGGCTAAAATAGAGCTCAAAGATGCCTGGAACAAACTGAAACCTGAGCTTAGAGATGAGAGAGCTTGGTCAATTAGTAGGAACCCTAGAGATGATATTCGGATTGGTACAGAATCTGAACATTTTCTGCTGTCCACAAGTCAAGAACACAAAGCACCACCATTAGCAGAATCTTCTCTGAAAATCATCTGGGAATTGATTGAGAAGAGTCGACATTTTCCTGCTGTTTTGCCACGTGTCCAATTCGTGAGATTGACTGCTTGTAGATTCATTTGGTACTTTCTTAATGTATTGGTTTACCGCTGTAAGAACACTGAGTTTTCTCCTGACTACATAGCTGATGCCTTAATCAGAGTATGTGGGTCAATCAATGCAGCCAGATATCTTGAGTCCAAATTGAAAGAAAGGAGTGATGACATTGATTTCCTTGAGATGAGAATAGCTGAAAGGGGTCCTGATTTTGATGTTAAGGATGAGAAGTGCTTCTTCTGTGAAGAGATCAGAAGTTTGGCAGATCTGCAGACTAATTGGCTAATGGAGATAGCTTCTGTTCTTCTACATCATTTTGAGACATCTTCATGGGATTACACGCAGAACAAAAGACAGTTTGAACAAAGGCAAGATGACCTGGGTTTAGCAGTGGTTTCTGACGACCTTGTGCAAGGGCTGGACGCTTTGAGAGGCCAACTTCAAGTCCTCAACACAAGTCTGAATGCAAAGGACTTTTTCGACTTGTGGAGAAGTGTTGCTGATGGGCTAGACCATTACATCTATTCCAGCATTTTCTCGAGTAGTTTCCAGTTCTCAGGCGAGGGAATCCATCAGTTTGAAGCTGATATGAAAGCCTTGTTTCTTGTTTTCCGGCCTTTTTGTGTGCGGCCTGAAGCATTTTTCCCATTTCTGGTAGACACTCTTAAGCTGTTGATGATGAGTAAGGAGGAGACAAACCAACTGCGTTTGGTTTTAGCTAGAGATGAGAGCAGAAAGAAAAGCTTGCAGTTTTGTAGTATTTCACACTTAACGCACGACCAAGCGGTCAAAGTTTTGAGGTTGAGGAAATGGTTGGATACTTCATGTTGACACGTTTACAGTTCTGTATCCCGAAAATCAGTTTCTTAATGATAGTTTTGACGTTACAATGCGCCAGCCAGTTCACTCCTTTATTCTGGGTTACATTATTTTAGATTTACTGCATTTAGGTAGCCCATTATGCAATCTTTCCGTGCTCTAGTCTGTAGATGTTTCCATTCATCCATTCATCTCCAGGTTCTTTTCACTCCCTATTGGCAGTCTGAACAACCTTTTTCGACAGCCCTTCCATTTACCATGCGTTGTTCGTCGTCGTCAAGGAAACACGAGGGGAGAAACAAATCGTGCGAAAATGTGAATTGATACGTGAATACTTTGAGTAATGAATGGGATGATATAACTAGAGCCAAATGCTCTTGTGCCTTGATCATCGTTTTGCATATTCTATGTTATCATGGAGAACTCGAACAAACCCAGAAGCCAATCATTTCATTGCCCGACAAACAATAACAATTACAGAAGTAAACAACAAAGAGCATTACAAGAGTGACAATTTCAGTTCTGAGCAGCTACAAGCATATGGGCGGGGCGGTACTCGTACCATTCCACCCCACGGATCACAAAAGGTAAATACTGCATACTCAACCCCTCCACCATAAGTTAGTACCAACTTCATGATGATAATTGTTCCCTCCCGCCAAAAAACAGATGGTTCTTGTACAGATTAGCTCAACCAGCACCCGCCCATTTTACCTCGCTCCATCAAGTTCCGGCATTGATTAATCCCTGCTTCTCGTTGGGCCTTGTCCTTTAATCACTGAACTAAAACGTAAGTTTCACACCTTCACTTGTTGCATTACACAGGCATTAAGGCATGCCTACTGCCAATACTGCTGATTGCGATTCACATTTGAACCACGGCCAGTGCCAGAGCCCCCGTAAGATCCACCACCACCACCACCTTGAGGGTAATTTGGTGCGCCAACTGCAAAGCCACTACCTCCACTGCCACGTGGAGCGCCACCAGGCACCTGGCTGCTCGAGCCATATGGAGGAGGGCCACGGCCTTGTGGAGGATATGCCCCGCTACCATAACCTCCCGCACCACCTCCTTGACCGCCACCGCGATTCGGGTGGTTGTATCCACCACCAGCAGCTCCACTCTGAGGATACCTGCCTGGCCCACCTGCAGGTCCCCGAGGCTTACCATAATGGTGACCTGCTCCAGCAGGAACTGGAGGCTGAGAGCCATGGACAGGTTGTTGATTAGGGCCCGATCTCATTGGTCCGTGACCCTGCCCAGATTGCTGAATGGGAGGAAGGCGGCTATGTGGTTGTGGATGTTGTAGCTTCTGACGCTTGGCGTTCTCTTCATGTTGTCTTTGCTGCTGCCGCTTTTTCTTCGTTTGAAACTCATGCGACGACTCGTATTTGGGCAAACTGAGCCAAAATAAATGACGTTGAGTATAGAACAAACGTGTAGGAGGCCATATTGAACCACAGTAGATAAAAGGAAAAGAGAGCGCCGGAACTAACGTCTTTGGATCACAAGGCAATGGGTCAGTCCAGAAATACTCGCCATCAAGAGCGTCCTTGGCTGATATTCTCTGATTTTACAATGTCAAGCAATATTAGCCACTATAAATCATCCAAACGAGCATTATGCCAAAATCAATCAGGCAATCTCAAGTCACAACTCAAAAGACAATGAAGGTCCAGTTTCAAAATAACTAAGTACAAAAAAACTACAGATAGTGAGCGCTAATACTATTTAATCACTAAGGAAAGCTTGGGTTTTGTTTCTAGGTTCAGGCTTGTTAATTGGTGCTTGTATTGCTGGCTTGCTTTGGAAAATTCTAGAATTGTACGTTAACAGACCAAGTAATACGTGCTGATGGTTTGGTTTATGAGAAGCTGAAGGGGTGGGGAGCCTCCAAATGACAATGATAAGCAGTCATATATGACTCCATAATTACATGTCTCCGAAAGAAACCTCTGAAAACAGGTCACTATAAAAGATGATTCATGAAGAAAAACTGCAATAGAAGTTACCTGAGAAGGATCAAGAGTTAGCATTTTGTCCAGCAACTCCAAAGCATGGCCATTAAAGCTGCAGCAAAAATCAGAAGATAGGAAATTGACGACAAAACAGAGAGAGAGAGAGAGAGAGAGAGAGAGAGAGCGAGCGAGCAACGTAAAGTTCCAACACTTAAATAGCTTCGAAAGGTAAAAAGCGAGCAGCACATAGCAATCTGGCACAATAAGACAATTTTGGCGCTCACTGTCTGAAAGCTTCCCTCAGGCGTCTCTTGATTGGCCTTGCAGGCTTGAAGTTGTTATACCAAGGAATCTTAGACACACCAGGCCAGTTAACCTCATCGGGTGATCCACAAAGCTCAAAAATCTTGTTTAGTTGTTCAGGCTGCAACAATCATAAAGACCAATAAACAGGTAGAAAGCAAACATTCAAAAGGCATTAACCGAACCAAAAGGGGTTTAAATCCACATCATTTCCTTCAACCTACATTTATCTTAATAATAGAAGCACTTTATGAAGACCACACTGCCTAATCTACAACACAAACAAAAATATAAACTGATCCTCAGACAACAACATCCAAACAAAACATAGGTCCTACCAGTGTACAAATAAGCTCCTTTGGTCTTATAAAGTATTTATCAATATAAAAGCTAAAGGTTAGTGAGGAAAGCAACGAAACAACAATGGGTTCTTTTAAGAATCTCTCAATACTGTAGAACATACAAATCACATCATAACTGTGGTTACCTCATCTTTCCCAGGGAAGATAGGCTTCCCATGGAGAAGCTCAGCAAAGATACAGCCAACAGACCACATATCAACAGCTGGACCATACTTTGTTGCCCCAAGAAGCAACTCTGGAGGTCTGCAAAAATTGCAAATAACTGGTACTTATTCCTTCTTGACTATTTCCTCGTTACGTCTCCATCATAGGCCAACAGAAAGATAGTAGATATTCTTTAAGAGACAAATTTGAGCAAATCAAGACCAAACTCTTTCTAGTAGGACGTGTACATACCTGTACCATAAAGTAATAACACGGTTTGTAAGATTTGCATTATGATCATTCGAAAATGACCTAGCAAGCCCAAAATCAGCAAGCTTAAGGTTCCCCTCATTGTCTATGAGAAGATTAGAACCTGCCAAAGAACACAGTGAACCACCATTGCCCTCATTAAATCACATCACAAGTGAAATAACAATAACAACTACAGAGATTTTGGATCTATTATCTACCTTTGATATCACGATGAAGTACTTGATTAACATGGCAATAGTGAAGCCCAGTTAAGAGCTGCCTCATGTAGCACTGAGAAAGAAAGGGAATAATAAAAGAACAAATCATAAGGCACAGGAATGGATCAATTTCAAGTCACCTAAATTTTTCATTCATTATGAAACACCCATGCAGTCTTCAAAATGTTGAATACCTTAATTTGAGGAACTGAAAATCTCATTCCGGGACGATCGGCAAGACCAGTTAAATCATGATCCATGTATTCAAAGACCATGTAGATACCACCTCTGTACTTGTTACCATCTGCACACATGCAAGACACTAGTCAGAAATCATATAGCTTCCCGGACGAGTAAAGTTTAAATGACTTTAGCTGGCAATACCAAAATACACCTTCATTATTAAAATATCAGTAAACAGACTAATGTTTTATATGGAAAGAAATGAACTTGCCAGGTCTTCCTTGATCATCCTTCTCAGGACCTGTTAAGTCATGACAAAATATTTAGATAACTACACAAGACAATCAACAATTCCAAGTTGGTGGTTAAAGGTGCATTGTGAACCAACTCCCGGGATCATAAGCTATTAAACCACTAACCCCTTTCAAAATTGAGACATTACCAGGAGATGTTACAATCTCTTTCAACTTAATTACGTTGTCATGGTGGAGCTTCTTTAGAATTTTGATTTCACGAATGGCAGTTATAGGAAACTGCAAGAACAAGAAGAAAGAAAAGGCTTGCATTACTAGTTAGACCAGGGTAGAACAATTGCCAAGCTATTATGTTCTTCTCGCCTTAAAACTGGAGTCGGATAAAAATACTGTCGAAACGCATTCCAAGAGATATATACGCCCCACCACCAAGAAAGACCACATAACTTACCCCTTCTCTCTCATTGTCCATTCTTATCTTCTTCAGAGCAACTATTTCTCCAGTTGCTATTTCACGAGCCATGTAAACTTGACTGTAAGAAGGAGCAAGTAACACAAAGCCAGAATCAAATCTCTGGCGCCAGTTACAACATCAAATGAACCTCAAAAATAGATTGCTCCCTGAAGCATTCAGAAGCAAGAGCCAAAACTAGAAACACATATTTTGACAGCGAAGTAGTAGTGCATTACATAGTTTTGCATTAGAATCAGACAAGTTAAAGCTTTTCTTTCACCTAACATGAGATTGATGCATACTTAATCATACCCAAGAGGCCAAGACACAAAGAGTGATTAGACACCAATTATTCCAAAAGACATTCTTCATAAAATAACAGTGACCTATACATCGATGGTAATCTTAAATACTTACGTCAACTGATTTAAGACAGAAAAACAACACTAGCCTAAGTAAACAAATCAGGGATTCGCCACTCATTAACAAGTGTCAAGGAAAGAGCTTTAAGACAAGAGTCCAACTGGAAAGGGTAGAAGTTGCTACCATCAGGACATGCTCTAAGAGGAGAAGCTTCAAATGGTGCATACAAACTATAAAAACGAAACCGGTAGGACAAAGAATGTTTCTGACTGAATACATCAATACAAAGAATATTCTCCTTAGGTTTTGTGACGTACATTTCCCTTTGCTCCCATCACAATTGCAGGTAAAGATTTTCTTCGAAGAAACAAGAGGAAAGGAAACGCACCCATAAGTGCCTTCCCCAATCTGTTCCAACTTCTCGAACTTATCAACAGTTCGGGATCCCCATGTAGCCATCTCGGTCAGGTTGAGCTGGCCAGGCGCCGCAATCGACATTACTCCCCGTTTACTGTTAACACCTCCTTCGAATTCTTCTTCTCCTTCCTGTTTACCCATCTAACTAAATTACAAGCTTTTACTGAACCGACGGATTTTTGCCAAAACCCTAACGTAAACGTTCAAAGGTCGAAACTTTTAGCATCAAGAGAAAGTAGGTCGAAGGGTTTTACCTGTGGCAAAGCCGCAAAGGAAAAGAAGACAGATGAAGCAGCTGGTTGCTTGATGGGCACGAATTAGCTCGCCCAATTCGTCGCCCTAAGTTCCCAAAAAAGGGAAATTTCCAAAAAAAAAAGGCGAAAACAGGCGAGGTTTCTTATTGGCTAGTTGTGGGATTTCGAGAGCGCAAGTTCGCGTAGGACTTGGAAGGCCAATCGTCCGGCCTGCAGCTGCTCGTGTGATGAGGTTGTCCGTCGGAATCTCTGGGGCGAACGCAAGAAGGGTAGTTTTTGCCGGCGAGGTATGGGACAGTGTAGATCGATTCTCAAACTTGGAACTTGGAAGGGGGAGAAAGATGAGTTTGATGTTGGAGTTGTATGACTTTTTGGTTCCTCAACTTTGAGATGTTAACGATTGAAGTCCTCAAACTAGCATTTATTTCATATTTATTCTTGTAGTAGTCCACTAGTCCTTGTCATTTTTCTGTAACAGTCCTTGACATTTTAAATGATTTCTATCTCATCCCTCATCAACAAAAATAATAGAGTTCACACTCCAATTTGGCTTGAATTTTGCAATTAAAAACTAATTTGTTCTATAAAAAAAACTAGTTTGTTCGACTTTTTCAAATGATTAATTAAGGGGGTGATTAGCAAGAATGTCAACTAATGACAAAGAGAAAGCAAAAATAAAAAACTCGGAATGTTGCATTTGGAATCAATTTGTCGAGATTGGGTAATCATTTTCTAGATGAGGGTGGATTTTCTTTTTTGAATAGACCTATGATTAGGCAAAGTTTGACTCCTCCCTCGAAAGGTAAAAAGCGAGCAGCACATAGCAATCTGGCACAATAAGACAATTTTGGCGCTCACTGTCTGAAAGCTTCCCTCAGGCGTCTCTTGATTGGCCTTGCAGGCTTGAAGTTGTTATACCAAGGAATCTTAGACACACCAGGCCAGTTAACCTCATCGGGTGATCCACAAAGCTCAAAAATCTTGTTTAGTTGTTCAGGCTGCAACAATCATAAAGACCAATAAACAGGTAGAAAGCAAACATTCAAAAGGCATTAACCGAACCAAAAGGGGTTTAAATCCACATCATTTCCTTCAACCTACATTTATCTTAATAATAGAAGCACTTTATGAAGACCACACTGCCTAATCTACAACACAAACAAAAATATAAACTGATCCTCAGACAACAACATCCAAACAAAACATAGGTTCTACCAGTGTACAAATAAGCTCCTTTGGTCTTATAAAGTATTTATCAATATAAAAGCTAAAGGTTAGTGAGGAAAGCAACGAAACAACAATGGGTTCTTTTAAGAATCTCTCAATACTGCAGAACATACAAATCACATCATAACTGTGGTTACCTCATCTTTCCCAGGGAAGATAGGCTTCCCATGGAGAAGCTCAGCAAAGATACAGCCAACAGACCACATATCAACAGCTGGACCATACTTTGTTGCCCCAAGAAGCAACTCTGGAGGTCTGCAAAAATTGCAAATAACTGGTACTTATTCCTTCTTGACTATTTCCTCGTTACGTCTCCATCATAGGCCAACAGAAAGATAGTAGATATTCTTTAAGAGACAAATTTGAGCAAATCAAGACCAAACTTTTTCTAGTAGGACGTGTACATACCTGTACCATAAAGTAATAACACGGTTTGTAAGATTTGCATTATGATCATTCGAAAATGACCTAGCAAGCCCAAAATCAGCAAGCTTAAGGTTCCCCTCATTGTCTATGAGAAGATTAGAACCTGCCAAAGAACACAGTGAACCACCATTGCCCTCATTAAATCACATCACAAGTGATTAACAATAACAACTACAGAGATTTTGGGTCTATTATCTACCTTTGATATCACGATGAAGTACTTGATTAACATGGCAATAGTGAAGCCCAGTTAAGAGCTGCCTCATGTAGCACTGAGAAAGAAAGGGAATAATAAAAGAACAAATCATAAGGCACAGGAATGGATCAATTTCAAGTCACCTAAATTTTTCATTCATTATGAAACACCCATGCAGTCTTCAAAATGTTGAATACCTTAATTTGAGGAACTGAAAATCTCATTCCGGGACGATCGGCAAGACCAGTTAAATCATGATCCATGTATTCAAAGACCATGTAGATACCACCTCTGTACTTGTTACCATCTGCACACATGCAAGACACTAGTCAGAAATCATATAGCTTCCCGGACGAGTAAAGTTTAAATGACTTTAGCTGGCAATACCAAAATACACCTTCATTATTAAAATATCAGTAAACAGACTAATGTTTTATATGGAAAGAAATGAACTTGCCAGGTCTTCCTTGATCATCCTTCTCAGGACCTGTTAAGTCATGACAAAATATTTAGATAACTACACAAGACAATCAACAATTCCAAGTTGGTGGTTAAAGGTGCATTGTGAACCAACTCCCGGGATCATAAGCTATTAAACCACTAACCCCTTTCAAAATTGAGACATTACCTGGAGATGTTACGATCTCTTTCAACTTAATTACGTTGTCATGGTGGAGCTTCTTTAGAATTTTGATTTCACGAATGGCAGTTATAGGAAACTGCAAGAACAAGAAGAAAGAAAAGGCTTGCATTACTAGTTAGACCAGGGTAGAACAATTGCCAAGCTATTATGTTCTTCTCGCCTTAAAATTGGAGTCGGATAAAAATACTGTCGAAACGCATTCCAAGAGATATATACGCCCCACCACCAAGAAAGACCACATAACTTACCCCTTCTCTCTCATTGTCCATTCTTATCTTCTTCAGAGCAACTATTTCTCCAGTTGCTATTTCACGAGCCATGTAAACTTGACTGTAAGAAGGAGCAAGTAACACAAAGCCAGAATCAAATCTCTGGCGCCAGTTACAACATCAAATGAACCTCAAAAATAGATTGCTCCCTGAAGCATTCAGAAGCAAGAGCCAAAACTAGAAACACATATTTTGACAGCGAAGTAGTAGTGCATTACATAAATTTGCATTAGAATCAGACAAGTTAAAGCTTTTCTTTCACCTAACATGAGATTGATGCATACTTAATCATACCCAAGAGGCCAAGACACAAAGAGTGATTAGACACCAATTATTCCAAAAGACATTCTTCATAAAATAACAGTGACCTATACATCGATGGTAATCTTAAATACTTACGTCAACTGATTTAAGACAGAAAAACAACACTAGCCTAAGTAAACAAATCAGGGATTCGCCACTCATTAACAAGTGTCAAGGAAAGAGCTTTAAGACAAGAGTCCAACTGGAAAGGGTAGAAGTTGCTACCATCAGGACATGCTCTAAGAGGAGAAGCTTCAAATGGTGCATACAAACTATAAAAACGAAACCGGTAGGACAAGCAATGTTTCTGACTGAATACATCAATACAAAGAGGATTCTCCTTAGGTTTTGTGACGTACATTTCCCTTTGCTCCCATCACAATTGCAGGTAAAGATTTTCTTCGAAGAAACAAGAGGAAAGGAAACGCACCCATAAGTGCCTTCCCCAATCTGTTCCAACTTCTCGAACTTATCAACAGTTCGGGATCCCCATGTAGCCATCTCGGTCAGGTTGAGCTGGCCAGGCGCCGCAATCGACATTACTCCCCGTTTACTGTTAACACCTCCTTCGAATTCTTCTTCTCCTTCCTGTTTACCCATCTAACTAAATTACAAGCTTTTACTGAACCGACGGATTTTTGCCAAAACCCTAACGTAAACGTTCAAAGGTCGAAACTTTTAGCATCAAAGAGAAAGTAGGTCGAAGGGTTTTACCTGTGGCAAAGCCGCAAAGGAAAAGAAGACAGATGAAGCAGCTGGTTGCTTGATGGGCACGAATTAGCTCGCCCAATTCGTCGCCCTAAGTTCCCCGAAAAGGGAAATTTCCAAAAAAAAAGGCGAAAACAGGCGAGGTTTCTTATTGGCTAGTTGTGGGATTTAGAGAGCGCAAGTTCGCGTAGGACTTGGAAGGCCAATCGTCCGGCCTGCAGCTGCTCGTGTGATGAGGTTGTCCGTCGGAATCTCTGGGGCGAACGCAAGAAGGGTAGTTTTTGCCGGCGAGGTATGGGTCAGTGTAGATCGATTCTCAAACTTGGAACTTGGAAGGGGGAGAAAGATGAGTTTGATGTTGGAGTTGTATGACTTTTTGGTTCCTCAACTTTGAGATGTTAACGATTGAAGTCCTCAAACTAGCATTTATTTAATATTTATTCTTGTAGTAGTCCTTGTCATTTTTCTGTAACAGTCCTTGACATTTTAAATGATTTCTATCTCATCCCTCCTTAACAAAAATAATAGAGTTCACACTCCAATTTGGCTTGAATTTTGCAATTAAAAACTAATTTGTTCTATAAAAAAAAACTAGTTTGTTCGAACTTTTCAAATGATTAATTAAGGGGGTGATTAGCAAGAATGTCAACTAATGACAAAGAGAAAGCAAAAATCAAAAACTCGGATTGTTGCATTTGGAATCAATTTTTCGAGATTGGGTAATCATTTTCTAGATGAGGGTGGATTTTTTTTTTTTGAATAGACCTATGATTAGGCAAAGTGTGACTCCTCCCTATGCTTGGCAACTGGGCCCGAATTCCGGGTACCTGTCCGGGTCCGATCCGTTACCTGGCGGGTTAAATTCGTTTGACCGGATAGTTGACGGTTTCCGGGGAACTCGATACCCGCTGTAGCCGGTTGACGGGCGGTGATGGTTTTGGTAAAATTTGCCTAGACAAGCCCCGCAACCCGCATCTACAGAACCCTAGCCCCCCCCCCCCTCCCACTTCATTCGCGAAAAATCATCTTCCTCTGATAAACCAATCTCCAAGCCCGACCCTTCCCCTTCTGCCTTCTCCTCAAATCTCACAGTTTTTTCTTCGATTGCAGAGAAAATCGTCAATAATCCCTACATTGATTGCTCAAAAGATGAGATACCCAATCAATCTGTTGAAACCCCGTCGATTTTTTCGAATCGAGCCTTTCCCGATGGCGATTACAGCTGCACTTGCCCTTAATCGACTCTTTCTCTTCGTCTTGAGCTTTATCTTCTGCTTCTTCTTCATGCATGCCTTTATAAATAGTCTAATTGATTGTTTTGGCAATTTTCATCACAGATTCACAAAACTCAAAGTCGCAAACCACTCTCGAAGCTTCTAGCCGCGTGTAATCCCTGTTGAGAATTCCAGTCACTGTAACTGCAAGGAGCACAACTGCACAAGCCGTAAGTCTTCTTGTAGCCTTACTCTGTGGATTTGGTTCTTTCTAACTTATGAGTGCGTGTTGCATACTTGCATGTTTAACTCATCCCCTGTTTCGTGATTTTTGTAGAGTTGCAGGGTTACTAACTGCCTTGTTTCATTGATCATTAACTAATCACGAAGGTAATTTAGTCGATTCTACAGTCTGGAGTCTTATTAGTACTAGTCATTAGTTCTTAGTTTCAGTTGATTTAACCTTAGTTGTTTTCTTTTTTCTGATTGATGAACAGGTGAGGCAATGGAAGGTGTTGAATTCAGCAACTCTCCCAACTCTCAATCCACACCCGACTCATCAACCCTGAACCCGAGCAGCAGCAACCATTGATTGCTGGTGATGCACCAGCACCTGCTGTGAATGATGGTAATGTAGTGACTGCTGCTGGTGATGCACCAGTCAATGATGGTGAGCCTTCTTCGCTTCCATTTGGGGCCAAACATCCATTAAAAAGCGATGTTTGGCCTCACAAACATACATACTCACAACCATATGCATTGGCTTTTCTTAGCCATAGCCACACTTTCGTACTCTGCAACTACATACCATACTTATACAAGTCATAATCGTCACAACTTACATAATTACACAAATATACACATATCATCAACTTTCCACACCTGTGGATATCTCACACTACATCAGAAGCTAGTATGCACATGAAAAACGTTCTCAAAACATTTTACAAAAAGGTGTGGATCACTGGCCAAAATCCCGAGTAGTCGTCCAAGCACAGAATAGTTGAAGACCATACCTCATCTTGACTTCAACTCTAGCTCCTCTCCCACCTAACACCTATCTACTGCTGCTGCTGATGATCTACTTACACATACCATAAGCAGAGAAAAAGAATAAAAGAGGGTCAGCTCATAGCTGAGTGAGATAATCATAGCATCGTGAGTTCATAACAGAGCATACCCCTACCATACATCTAGCAGACAAGCCAAAGCACTAGGATTGGATCTCAGCCCTCCGACATCCCAATAGGCAAAAGACTCAATCACCTTGACTTATGCATATGCATCTTATCATGTTTTACTTATAGGCGCCTGGCTACTCCCATGCTAATAACTCTCCCGGGAAACATACCCCACATCCCGTCGGATGTAGGCATACATACCCCAACATCCCGTCGGATGTGGTCATACATACCCCACACCACTATGGGTGTAGTCATACCCTGACACCCCTCTGGGTGTGGTCATATCTCGTAAGAAATCTTCAGTCACCACCACATGAGAGGTGTGACTATCATACATATCATAATAGAGTAATAGCATAGGGAGCCCTAATTACTATGTAGTTGACCGTGAGACCACAACACTCATATTTGGTATCCTTATACATGATTCATATCTCATCTTGCTTACTCATAATTCATTACTTGCACATGTACTTGACCTGGCCATAATTGGCTCAACATAGGTAAACCAGGAGTCGTATAATTGCACTTCATCGGGATAAACCCTCGTGCAAGTCATCCTCCTTAAATATCATAATATCACCATGAGATATATATTTTCCCACTTGTACATCCAAATACATCAATAATGAAATGTCATACCCAATCACCTTTTCGAACCATCATAAGGCATATCAACAGTCAAGCCCACAATTTGCAACATATACGAAATCATCAGCATAAACAAGGTTCATATCGATGAGGGCAAGTCAATAATATCATACAGCAATCCAGGGTTCAACATATAGCACAAAAGTTCATACACCCCTAATCATGCCATTCTAGTTCACCTAGGTCAATTCTAAGCATCAACATAATTATCGTGATACGACAAACCCGGTATGCCGTGCTAATCCCTCACCAGTTCTGGTCGTTCAAACACCGGTTTAAGCTTCCCGTACTAAAACGTCAATTTCACGAACGAACCCCGAATTAAAATCCGAGACCGTCCTAATATCCCCTGCAGTATCCCCGTCAATATTAGTTCTAGGCTCCGGGTCAAATTCTCGATAAAAACACATCAAACCCTGGTCGGAGCTAAATTCAGCGATTAGGACCCCGACCTAAATAATTGCCGAAATTCAGGGATTAGAACTAGAGGATTGATTACCTCGCTGCAGGAAGCTCGTATATGAAATTTGGGCTCAATCCGGCTTCCGGATACTCCGAAACCCTAATTTGGCTTATCGGGAATTCAAGAAATTACTGAACCAAAAACTCGTTTTAAAGCTCTAAATCGATAAATCACGATGTATAGATGAATTAGGCATTACTTACGGGATTTTTGGATCACTAGGGCTCAAGATTGGAGCTACCAAAAATTTTCCCCGGAGCTCTGCGTGCGGCTCTGCTCTGCTCTCGGTTTTTACTTCTCTCGGTTCTTTCTCGGTGGAGAAATGGAAAATGATGATGAGAATATTGGAATGAAAGTGGCTCGTCCGCTTTTATGATATATATATATATATATATATATATATAATTATATATATATATAATTAATACGTATACTTATCCGATCGATCGATAATCCGATTTTCGTCGAAATAGTGCCGAAATGCTCGATTTTAAATCACGAACTTTCTAGCGATCGAAATATGGGTTTTGCCGGAACGGGATGTTACAATTCTCCCCTTCTTAAAAAGATTTCGTCCCCGAAATCTAACCTTGAGTTAATAGTACATATCCGCTCGTTCCCTTCCTAGCATACACTATCACTTATCTTGTTACTACCTAACTCTTTGGTTAGGAGATCTGAACTACATTACTAAACACATAACATCTCAAGTTCCCATGTTTAGGTTTCAAACCTAAACTGGGTTATCACATCATAAGCACATCAACAAAGTTCCAAACATAACTTACTAAGCAAGATTGGTAACCTAGAAAATGTTAGCCACCCCAACATCAAGAATCATATCCATATTAAAAACTCTACCACAACAACTCGTCATGTTAGCATAGTCGAAAATCAACTGCATTGCATAGCTAGCCACCATGCTTCTCGACGGGTTAGCAGTAACACTAAACGTACTTCTGTGCAAACTACAAGGAAACATTGGCCTTATTTTGATCCACACACCACTTGGTTGAAACAAAACTTTCTTCAAAATCATTACTTGGACAACAAGATAAAATTTCAACATATTTTCAAAAATATCTTAAACCATAAAATTTCAAGAATACTTCAAATACTCAAAATCATGTTTGACCATATGCAATTGACTATGCAACACATCATCACCTTTGGTCCCAATCCTGGCAAGTTTAGTGCAAGTACAGGTATGGAGTACTCCCTCCCCTTCTGAGGGTGATCAGTCCTCAAGAGTGAAAGTAACATACCCATAATGCAGAAAACAAACCAGCTCTGATACCAAACTGTAACACCCTACCCTATACGTTTTGCCTAATCATATTGTTCATACAATTGCAGCGGAATTAATCTCGGGTGTTACACTAATTATCAAAATTTACCCAAATAAAATTTCGACATGAATTACTCGCGTAATGGGCTAACAGTTCTTGCAACTTATCCTGCAAAATAATTCATCACAAACATACATACTCAAAACCATATGCATTGGCTTTTCTTAGCCATAGCCACACTTTCGTACTCTGCAACTACATACCATACTTATACAAGTCATAATCGTCACAACTTACATAATTACACAAATATACACATATCATCAACTTTCCACACCTGTGGATATCTCACACTACATCAGAAGCTAGTATGCACATGAAAAACGTTCTCAAAACATTTTACAAAAAGGTGTGGATCACTGGCCAAAATCCCGAGTAGTCGTCCAAGCACAGAGTACTTGAAGACCATACCTCATCTTGACTTCAACTCTAGCTCCGCTCCCACCTAACACCTATCTACTGCTGCTGCTGATGATCTACTTACACATACCATAAGCAGAGAAAAAGAATAAAAGAGGGTCAGCTCATAGCTGAGTGAGATAATCATAGCATCGTGAGTTCATAACAGAGCATACCCCTACCATACATCTAGCAGACAA